ATTCTATGTGATCAGTTTAACTTTTAAAGAATCGCATGTTCAACAGAGTAATACGTGGCTCATAATTTACGCTTTGATGAATGTATTTTACTACTGCAACACTCACTTGGTTGCTGCGTGATTTGGTTTTCTCTTGAAGTTGACCGAAGCGCTGCACACATTTACTGTAAGAATGGGATTGAAGATACTATCGGCAGAAACGACGTTCTTTCGAAGGACTTTCGGCGTCAACATCACAATCCAATATACTGTCGACTGCAAGCTTCCCCTTTTGCTGCAGCTCAGAAAAAACTAACTTCTATTGTTTCAACTTCTGAACCTGTGCTTAGGATGCCAAGGCATTGCGTATTTCGCAAAGCATTTTTTTTTGGCAAGGTCACTTTGAAAGGGTTCGCGAGAAGGCCGGCGATCAGACGGCTCAGATATTCAGCAACAGGCTTCGCAGAGCTTCATAGTCCAGGGTGGAGCTAATCGACTGGCAAAAGACCGGGACTATTGGAGAAAACTAACGAAAATGCTGCTCCCACGACTCAAAAGAAAATTAGGAAATTCGCTTGTGTTCATGCTGCAAATAACTAGTTGATTCTTCTTGGTCACGTTCATCAGCTAAAGGCATGGTATAAAAACAACATCATTTATTTTACACATCGCAATTACAGGTGTAGCGGATGATAAACCACTATCAACTTTGGGTCTGCATATCACGGATCTTTTTCAAGGCAAAGCGACTGGCATTTAGCTGTTGTCGCCGTTGCACACAGCAGCTACAAAATTTTTCAGATCAGTAAGGCATGCTCTCGATCCATGCTGCTTTTATAGTCTCTTGACGACAGAAGGGATGATTAAGACAGTAAATTAAAGTACTCAACCAAGAGCCTGGACCGAAAGGTTGTTCTGAAAGTCGAAGATTTTTAGCTGCTGCGAAGGAAGAAAAGAGGGAATGAATACAATAAAGGAACACTTAAACGATGAATACGACGAAACAGAAACGTAACAAGAAGAAGCAGAGGCAGAAAACTGAAATGACGAAGTAGAAGAGTAGAGAGTGAAGTAGAAGACCAAAAAGGCGACTTAGATAATAAAGAACAGCAAGAGACAAAGGCAAACAAGGCGCAAAGTAAAAAGTGACTTTGTCACTTCGCCAATCGCCACCTTCCTCTCTTTCGTATTTCACTGCTTCTTCTTCCCTTTCCACATGTCCTCCTTTCTCTACATTCTACTTATTGTTCCTGTTTTCAACTTCTTCATTTTCTTTGTTATTTTGCTTCCATTCTTCGACCCTTTTTCTTTCATGGCTTATTCCTATAAATTTCTATAGTTCTTTGTTAATTTCTTTCTCACTCTTCGTTATCTTGTCCTTTTCCACTTCTCTTGCACATGCTTACTCTTTTAAGCGCACCTTATTCAAAGAAAATCATGATCAGTAGTTTCGCATAATTTCCCATCCTCAGTCAATGGGTCACCTCGCACAGCTTCATGTCATTCTTTACAATATCCCGTCATCCTCTCCCTGACCTTTCTTTACGGCTCTTCCGTGAGGGGTGTGTTTCAGTAAGTCGATACTATCCTCAACAAGAAAAAGATCACTTTATCACCTTCCTCTCTTTCATGTTTTATTGGTTCTTCTTCCTCTTCCACTGTATCTCACTTTTCCGACATTCTACTCCTTGCGTTCGACGTTTTCATCATCTTTGTGATCCTGTTTATATTTTTTTGGTTCCTTTACATTTTCATATTTCAGCCTATTATTTCATTTTCATCTCCTGCTCTGTCTCCATCCGTGCTCCATCTTTACTCCGCTTATGCCCCTTTCCATCCTTTTTTTCCAAGTGTATTACTTTGTAGGAAGAATATGTTTCCAATATTTTCCAGTCTTGAGATAATGGGGCACCGTCTCGTTTCATGTATACACAATGTACTGTCCTCGCTTTTATCACCTTGCACTGTCGCTCTTCCGAAAATATTATACCGTTGTATTTAGTGCCGCAATTTCTTACGCAACGACAGTGAGTTAAGCAAATGGGTTAAACTCGTCACGCTTCACGTTAGCTCATGGCTGA